TTAAGTTTATAAAGTATTTAACTCAAGCATATTGCCTATTTTTTCCTTTAAATAATGATTAGCTATGAAATTCATTCCTTTAATATTTTTACTGAGTTAATCCAGGTTTATATAAAATCATTAAGCCATTTTAATTACTATAAGTACAACATTAATATAACCTCAGAAATATTGTAAACTGTATTCAATTCTTTGAGAAAGGCACTAAATACAGAGTTACTTCACTGTAATATCAGTTAATAACCCTTGAAAGTTTACACATGATCTTTTGAAGGGTTAACAATTGCTTTTACACATTAAAGGCAATGGTGTGGATTTCTGGTATCAAAACTATTTTTGCTGTCCAATTTTAATAAAAGAGAAACATTTCAGCTTGATTATCAATAGCACTAAACTTCATGGCAACTGACTTATCAGCAACAAAACACCTGCTATGCAGGAAATTTTGAATACTTTTTTTTTTTCTTCAAAGCCTGGATTAAGTAAAGGAATTTTTAATTTAGCAGATAGTTTTAGTTAAGAAAAACTATAAAGAGTAAGGAAGAGGGCTGGGGCTATAGCACAGTAGCAGAGTGCTTGCCTAGCATGTGTGACGCACTGGGTTCAATCCTCAGCATCACATAAAAATAAAAAATAAAATAAAATAAAATAAGGACATTCTGCCCATCTACAACTTCAAAAAAAAATTTTTTTTAAAAGAATAAGGAAGAATGTGCTGATTTTAAACAAGTTTGAACTTAGTTTCAGTCTTTCAAAATTTCCTCTAACAGAACACCACAACAAAAAAAGTTTGCCTTTATATGTGTAGGGTGAAGACAATCAATAGGTTGTCTGGTTAGAAACCTAAAACTTAAAAGGTTCCCCTTACCTCACACTGACAATTTTTTTTTTTTAATTTACAAAAAATCTGGGCTGGGGTTGTAGCTCAGTAGTAGAGCTCGTCTAGCATATGTGAGGCACTGGGTTCGATCCTCAGCATCACATAAAAATAAATAAATTAAAAATAAAGTCATTGTGTCCATCTACAACTAAAGAAAAATATTTTTTTAAAAATGTAATGCCACTTTAAATGTGGAGGAGTGAAACTGATGCTGTAAATTCTCAATTTTAAGGAATTATTTCATAAATGACCCTGAACTATGTAAATTTTTAAGTTTTTTTAAACAGACTACTATCAAATTCCCAGAAGCTGGTTATTTAGTTAGTTCCTAGATTTTCCTAGCTCATTTAGATTCCTCTAAAGCTTTTCAAGCTCCAATTTTGAGCTTCCAGCCCCAATTTCAGAATAGGAAATAAAATGAAATGCAGTCTATTTTACTATTTGTTCTCAACAGTGAAAATAGGCAAAGACTAAAACAAATTACATTTTCGTTTCTCTCTAGATTTCAGATATTCATGTTTATTCACATTCCTAATAGGGACAAACAGGGGACATAAAAATATTACAAAAATATTCAGAAAATAGCTACAAACTGGGCTGGAGTGTAGAGTGGTAGAGTGCTTGCATAGCATGCATTAGGCCCTGCGTTCAATTTTCAGCATAGAAAAATGTTTTTTTAATAGCCACAAACAAGGCTATGTTCAAAACTCAATTAATAGAAAACAAAATATAACTTTAAAATGTTAAAATACAATTTGAAACTATGTTAGCAAACTTAAAAAACATTAATGCATCAAAAATATGCAAAACATTAAAAAGAACAATGTTTTAAACAATCATATATTTAGAAAAGTGTTTCCAGGCCAGGTATGGTGGCTCACATTTGTAATCCAGCAACTCAGGGGGCTAAGACAGGAGGATCACAAGTTCAAAGCCAGCCTCAGCAACTAGCAAGGCCCTAAGCAACTTAGCAAGATCCTGTCTCAAAAAAAAAAAAAAAATTAAAAAGGGCTAGAGATATGTCTCAGTGCATTCAATCCCTAATACAAAAACAAACAAACAAACAAAAAAAAACAAAACTGTTTTTAGAGTTGGGGATTCAGCTCAATGATAGCATGCATGAGGTCCTAGTTAATCCCCATCACAGCAAAAAAAGGTGGGATGGGCTGGGGGAATTTTCCCTGTCTTTTCCTACACAATAAACCACCAAGATTTCAGTGAGAAGGGATGTGCTTCTCCTACAAAGGCCAGGAAACAGCCTTGATAGGTGTCTCTGTGTGTGTGTGTGTGTCTGTCTGTCTGTCTGTCTCGCCCCCCCCCCCCATATAATAGTAATATGCCTAGAATGTCGGGATCTCCAAGGTCAGAACCTCTAAAGGTAAGGACCCTGGTTGATGAATTTGCCTTTAACTTAAAAAATAAACAAATGCATAGGGGGATTTTTAAAAAAAAGGTATTCCTAAATTGCCACTATAAAACGGCATGTCTAAAATTGACAGGCTAGTCCTAAAATTCATATAGAAATGCAAGGGACTTAGAATAGACAAAATAATCTTCAAAAAAAAACCCAGAATAAAACTTTCATTTCCTAATCCCAAACTTATTATACTGTTATAGTAGTCAAAACACTGTGGTAGTGGCTGGCATAAGGATAAACAACGAAATAAAATTAAAAATACAAAAGTAAACATATACATCTATACTAAAGTGATGTTTCACAAGAGTACCATTTAATAGAGAAAAAAAGAGAGACTTTTCAACAAATGGTGCTGGAACTGGGTATCTACATGCAAAAACTTAAGTTGTACCCATTCCTTGAACCACACACAAAATTTAACTTCCAATGAATCACATACCTAAAATGATCTAAAACTATAAAATGCTTACAAAGAAAACGCAGGAGTAAATTTTGAATTAAGCAACGGCTTCTTAGATACAACAACAAAAGCACAGGTGATTAGAAAAGTAAATAAATCAGAACTTACCAAGATTTCATCAAAATTAAAATTATGTGCTGCAAAGGCTGTTTATCAAGATAGTCCACAGAATGGGAAAAAATACTTTCAAAACATATATCTGGGGCTGGGGTTTTGGCTCAGTGGCAGAGCGCTTGCCTCACAGGTGTGGGGAGCTGGGTTCGATCCTCAACACCACATAAAATGATTAAATAAAAGTATTGTGTCCATCTACAACTAAAAAAAAAATTAAAAAATATATCTGATTAAAAAAATGTGTATCCAGAATATAAAAAGAACTTATACAACCAAATAACAAAGAGACAACTTGATTAGGATGTAAACAGGCAATTCTCTAAAGAACATACAAAAATGGAAATAAGCACATGAAAAGATTCTAAATGTCATTAGCCATAGAGAAATGCAAACCAAAACCACAATGAGATGCTACTTCACCTCTCCCCATTATAACTAAAAAGATAACAAGTGTGGATAACCATGTGAAAAACTGGAACCCTGAGACATTGCTGGTGGGATTGTAAAATGCTGCAGTCAGTTTGGAAAAGTTTGGCAGTCCCTTAAAATGTTAAATATAGAGTTACCATATGACCCAGCCATTCCATTCCCAAAAGAAATGAAACCATATGTTCACACAAAAACTTGCACAAAAAATGTTCATGGCAGCATTATTCATAATCACCAAAGTGAAAACCAAATGTCCATCTCCCTGGATAAGTAAAATGTAAAATTATCTGGCCATAAAAAATAATTAAGCACTAATACAATTTATGGAGGAACCTTCAAAACATTATGCTAAGTGAAAGAAGTCAGTCACAATAGTCCCATTTATATGATAGGTGAAGAACAGACAAACCTAGAGAGGCAAAGAGTAGATCATTTGCCTAGAGCAGGACATGGGGAAAATGACAAGTAAATGCTAATGGGTAAAGTGTTTCTTCTGATAAAATTCTTCTAAAATCAATTATAGTGATGGTCTGCACAACTCTATGAAAATATGAAAAAGCATTGAACTGTACACTTTAAATAGGTGCACTGTTTGGAATGTGAATTGTATCTAAATAAAGTAGTTTTAAAAGTAATGTTTAGTATGTATGCAGTGTGTGGAAAACAAGGAACATTCAAGACAAGTAACTATAATTGATTTGATTACTAAGCAAATCTATGCTTGAGACCCTTAGAATTAAGAATTTAACATACCCTCCTTGCAAACTGAGATATTACTCCTTGAAACATTTCTATCTTGGCCAAAACAGAATTAAAGTACTTGCAACTGTCAGGTCATTAAAATAAGATTCACTCAAAATATCTGAGTAAACATGTTTCTTTCCTGTACATGGCTGAACTGTGTACTTACTGCCCATTACAGCAAACAATAACTGCAGAAAAACACAGCACGGAGAGACAGAGAAGTCATTCTCAAAGAAGAAACTAATACTAAGTTGAGATCTATGGAAAGAATGAGGAGAGAGGAAAAGAGGGCTAAGGGAAATCTCCATGCATTTAAGCCCATAGAGTTCATTTACATTAAATTCAACTTTAGTGAGCTTTGTGAACAGGCCTAGAGGCAAAGTCCCGGGCGCATACCCACAATCCAAGCAGAACTGCGAGGTCAAGAGGAAGTGTGGATCCAGCCCAGCCCCGCATTGGCTTGCGTGTGGATAAGGTGGGGGGCTGACGCGCTCAGACGCGGGCCTGCGGAGCGGGAAGGCAACGAGCCCCGGCGCTCCCCGGCGCGCGCGCAAGGCTCCGTGCCGGGCCCGTCCTCCGCGTCCGAGCACCGCGCACGCCTCGCGCGGTGCGCGCCGGAGCCTACGATGGGGCCGGCTCCCGTCTCCCGCCCCATCCGGCGCTTTGTCCCGGCCCCGCCGGCGGTCGGCCCCTCTGTGTCCCAGCCGCGGCTCCCGGGCCCCACTGACAGTCCCCACGGTCAGGAAGGCTGCGAGCCTGGCGGTCCCCACCGGCCAGCGACCCGTCGCCCGCCGGACCTCAGCCAGGCGGGACCCGGGAGGCAGCGGTCCGAAGACGCTCGCCCTACTGGAGAAGCCGCCGCCGCCGCCACCGCCCGAAGCGCACGCAGGCCGAGGTCGGGCGCCGAAAGCCTCGGACTCCGAAACCCATACTTGTTTCCAGCATCCCGCGCTTACCCAAAAATTCTCGACGAAATGCGCCATGACCATCGTGCCGCCGCCGCGCCGGGTTCCGTGTCCGCACCCGCCCGCCGCTGTGTAAACACGGACCCGGCCCCCACGGCGCCCCCGCCTTTCGCCGTGGCCGCCGCCTTCTTCCCAAAGACCGGCCCGCACCCTCCAGGGCGCATGCGCCACCTAGCGGCCGCCGCGACGGAGCGAACTCCTAGACGCCGCGGTCTCGGAGCGCGCATGCGCCCCGGACCGCTGCCCGGGTTTGGTCGCCCTTTGCTCAGCCTGGCGCGGCCAGATTGAGTATTCTCTTGGGAATGGTGAAGAACTGGGTCCCTGAGGAGTCACCCGAAGACTGCCCGCGCCCTTTGCCGCGCAATGGCTCTGGCCCGGAGACAGAGAAGGGCCCTGCCCACTTCTCCCCTCCAGGTTCTCTTCCCGGCTTTCGAGGATCTCGAACAGAGCAAAGACTGGACCCCCTGAGATGGAGGAAACTTGGCGTCTGGCCACCGGAGGAGACTAGGAAACCTTTGGTCAACAGGGCGCCTTTCCTTGACAGGGATCTGAGATCCAAAACAAAACTATTCGAGCCCGGAAAGGGAGGAACCGCCCAGTGTGGCCAGAGCGCCCTGGAGCTACGCGAGACCCAGCACCAAGGCCGGAGCCGCTGACCTCTAGCACGCCCGGAGCCAGCCAGGCGGGACTGCTGGCCCAGGGCAGGAACGTGACCGAAACGAGCGAGTTTCCCCAACCCAGGCATTCAAAAACAAGTCTCTTCTAGAACGTGTTCATAAAAGTCCATGGTTCTCTTGGCAACTTGTACGTTTTAGAAAAAGAAACAAGTTTTGACATGCCTCTGCCTAATAGAGAAACTAAATCCCCTTCTCACACCTTGTTTTCCAAAGTTAAAAAACAAAAACAAAAACAAAAAAAACTTGTGGAAGTCTCAACTACACTGTCATCAGGTTAGTTAGGTCCAAAATCTGCATGCAGTTCTTGAGGCCAAGCCCCACAAATAGATTTAGTGTAGTTTTAACAATATACATCATACCTTCTCAGATCTTGTGGTTTCAAAAGTAATGGACATTATAAGATAATTTTTCTAGAGAAATTATTTTTATCCGTGCAATAAAAGTTATAAAAACCACAGCTGGCACGTAGCGCACCCCTGTAATCCTAGTGCTCCGGAGGCTGAGGTAGGAGGATCTGGAATTCGAAGCCAGCCTCAGGAACAGTGAGGCACTGTCTCTAAATAAAATACAAAATAGGGCTGGGGATGTGGCTCTGTGGTCAAAAGCCCCTGAATTCAATCCCTGGTAACCCCCCTCCCCCTCCCAAAAAAAATGCTTTCATATGGATGAAACTGAAATACTTGTTTTATTTGATAATGGTACTGTGTTTATATCTTTTTAAGAATATCTTTTAGAAATAAATATGTAATGATAAGGCGTCTAGGATTTAATCAGAAGTAATTCATGGGGGTGGGGAGAATGAGTAGGCATATAAATGAAACAACATTGGCTATTTCAGCCAAAGCAATCCTTAGAAAAGTGAAGCAGACCAACAATAAAAAATTAAAAAAAAAAAAAAAGTGAAGCAGGAGGCATAACAATACCAGAACTTAAATTATACTAAAGAACTATAGTAACAAAAATAGGGTGGTATTGGCACCAAAACAGGCATGAAAACTAATGGAATGGAAGACACAAACTTACATAAATACAATTATCTCATATTTCACAAAGGTGCCAAAAATATACATTGTTGAGAGCCTCTTTAACAAATGATGCTGGGAAAACTGGAAATCCGTATGTAGTAGATGAAATTTAATCCTACCTCTCATCCTGCACAAAACTCAAAGTGATTCAAAGACCTAAGATTAAAGACCAGAAACCCTGCATCTGCTAGAAGGAAATGTAAGCCCAACCCTCCTTGTTAAGGAACTAACTTCCTTAACAAGACTACTAAAGCACAAGAAGTAAAATAAAGATAAATGGGATGGCATCAAATTAAAAAGCTTTTTCACAGAAAGGAAACAATCAGGAATGTCAAGAGAGAGCCTACAAAATGGAAGAAAAATCTTTGCCACCTGCTCCTCAGATAGGGCATTAATATCCAGGATATGCTGAAAACTCAAAAAACTTAATACCCCCCCAAAAAAAAAACAATGATTGATACAATTGATGCTATTATAGCTGGGAATTTCTCAAAAGCTATTAAAAAAAAAAACCCTCAATGCCAAAAAAAGCAAATAATGCAATCAATAAATGGGAAAAGGAACTGAACAGACCCTTTTCAAAAGAGGAAATACTAATGGTCAGGAAATATATGAAAAATGTTCAACATCTCTAGCAATTAGAGAAATGCAAATTAAAACTACACTAAGGGGCTGGGGTTGTGGCTCAGTGGTAGAGCGCTCACCTAACATGAACAAGGCACTGCGTTCCATCTTCAGCACCACATAAATGTAAAATAAAGATATTGTGTCTACCTAAAACTTAAGAATAAGTATTAAAAAATTACACTGATATTTCATCTCTAGTCAGAATGGCAACTAGCAAGAATACAAATAACAATAAATGTTGGCAAGGGTGTTGGGGAAAGGGTACACTCATATGTTTTTGGTGGAACTGCAAATTAGTACAACCAACTTTCCACAACATTGGGAAAAATAGTATGGAGATTCCTCAAAAATCTTCTAAATAGGTTGGGGCTGTGGTCACTGGTAGAGAGCTTGCCTAGCATGTGTGAAGCAATGGGTTCAATCCTCAGCACCACATGGGTGTTTATAGCAGCACAAGTCACAATAGCTAATCTATGGAGCCAATCTAAATGCCCTTCAACAGATGAGTGGATAAAGAAAATGTGATACATATACACAATGAATATTACTCAACCATAAAGAAAAGTAACTCTGGGGCTGGGTTTGTAGCTCAGTGATAGGCACTTGCCTAGCACATGTGGGGCATTGGGTTTAATTCTCAGTGCCGCATATAAAGAAATAAAATAAAGATCCATCAACAACTAAAAAAAAAAGGGGGGCGGAAAGCAAAATTACTCTGACGTTTGCCAGTAAATGAATGGATCTGGAAACTATCATGCTAAGTGAAATAAGCCAATCTCCAAAAAACAGAGGTCAAATGTTTTCTCTGATATTTGGAAGCTAACTCCCAATAAGGCAAGGAGGAATAGGAGAAAAAAAAGAAGTTCAGTGTAGTAGAAAAAGGGGAATGAAGGAAAGGGAAGGGGATGAAAAAAGGAAAGATATTGTAATGAATCTGAAATAACTTTTCTATGTACATATATGAATATACCACAGTGAATCTCGCCATCCTGCACATCCACAATAAATTAATTAATTAAAAATAGCTATGAGTAAATGGCAGAAAGATCAATAGAGGGAAAGGATTAGGGGGTCAGAGGAGGGAAGGGAAAGGAGAGGTATTTGGGACTGAATTAGAACAAGATAAATCCCGTGCTTTTATAATTATGTCAAAATTGATTCTACTGTTGTGTAACTAAAAAGAACTAATCCTGGACTTGATGCAGTGCTTTCAAGGATCTCACAAGTCTCCATCTCTCTCTCTCTCTCTCTCTCTCTCTCTCTCTCTCTCTCTCTCTCACACACACACACACACACACACACACACACAATTTATTCTAAAAATCACTTGGGTGCCCCTGACACTGGTTCATAATCATAAATCCCTTCTCCCACAACCAAGAATATTCAGGCCTTTATCTCTTGCCCTATATCCTCAAAACAAAAGGTGGACTCCAAATGAAGTGAAAATGTGTAGATAGTATGGCTGTCCACATTAAAGATAGACTGCTTTGAAGTTCAGGCAGAATTTAAGCAGAAGTACTTACATAAGAAAGATGTTAACTTGTTAAATCCCTCCTCTCAGCTTGAATACAGTAGATTCTTGCATAACAAAATATTGCTTACCAATAGTGTCAAACATGGATTTTCTTTCTCTTGATGTTTCAATTTATGGTTACAACACTGACTAGCTTAGTATTCACAATATTTGTATATGCTACGCTGGCCTCTATTTGTACTCTTACCCCTGATCCCATAAATATTAGGGATAAGTCCACCATGAAGATAAACATTCTGTGCATTTCAGGTATTCATAAGGTTTTTTTAGGGCAAAAACATGATGTGTTGTAATTGGCCCATATAAGTTGTGGAATTTTATAAACAGTGATTAAGGTGACTATGTTTTAGATAAGATGATGTAGTGTAAGAAGAATGTGGGTATCAGTCACCTTCTGTCCTCTCAAGTGAGGTTTCCAGGGATGCACAGATACTCTGGCAGAGCATAGATAGATAAGACTCTGAGAGGGTAACACTCACATACCTTAAAGTGTTTGTGCTACACACATTTAGCCCTTGCTTATCCAAATACATTTTCATATTATTAAAAAGTGACATAGATAACAACAGAGTACAACTTACTGCCAGTAATACCTGTCAACTCATAGTCACTTAGGAAGTGTTCAGTGAATGCATGGATGATTAAGCCTATAAGAAATGTCAAGGTGGATGAGTCCTTGGGTATGCAATAATTCCATTGTTTTACTCATGCTCTTAAATATGTGCTTATAGAAAATATCATTATTTAAGTCCATCTTGGTTTAATTTTCCCATATTACTTTAAATATTTTCAAAAGAATTCTTTTGAGCTTGAGCATACACACACACACACACACACACACACATATATAGCATGTGAGTGTTACCCTCTCAGAGTGTGTGTGTGTGTGTATATATGTATGTGTGTATATATATATATATATGTATGTGTGTGTGTATATATATATGTATGTGTGTATATATATATATGTGTGTGTATGTATATGTGTGTATGTATATATATGTATATGTGTGTGTGTGTGTATATATATATATAAGTTGTAGTTGAACACAATACCTTTATTTTATTTTTATGTGGTGCTGAGGATTGAACCCAGTGCCTCACACATGCTAGGGGAGCGCTGTACCACTGAGCCACAACACCAGCCCCTTGAGCATACTTCTTAAAAGATAGTGTATTTTGTAATAAAAATAAAATAAATTTTGACCTAGCAGGAGATCTCTTTTTGGGAAGGGACTCCTAAACAATTTGACCTTTTGTTTTTGGGTGTACCCAT